CAATTAGAATAATAATAAAAAAAAAAGAACATGTGCAAAAAAATTAAAAAAATGTCAACATTTAGAGCCAAAAGGATCTTTATTATATTTTTCATTTTTTAAATCCGATTTTATATCCGATCGAAGGTTTTTTAAATATCGGCTCAATTAGAATAATAATAAAAAAAAAGAACACATGCAAAAAAATTAAAAAAATATCAACATTTAGAGCCAAAAGGATCTTCAAATATTTTTCATTTTTTAAATCCGATTTTATATCCGATCGAAGGTTTTTTAAATATCGGTTCAATTAGAATAATAATAATAAAAAAAAAAAAGAACAAAAAAAGAAAAAAGAAAAAAGAAAATATCAAATTGTACGAAACATTTACAATAGAAGCTATTTAAAACGGAAGCTGGATTCAGTACAGATTGGCCCTTAAATTCGTAGCAATTCGACCATCGTTCGCGCGAACAATGGCAATTTCTATTTCTGCAGAGAACCCTTCTCCTCCCCACCCCAAATCCAAATTTACAACGTTTGTTGGCGATCGAAAAACCGAATCAGGGTTGTTTGACAAACAGCAATTTGGTCCTTTGGCGGGTAAACAAAAAACAACGATATCCCGCGCGATGGAAAATCAATTCGACGAGTCGGTCGACGAAGCAAAAGTCAGAGGTGAATTAATTAACGGCGACCCGGTTTTCGTTCGGTGTACGCAGGGCGTTGCTGGCAAATAAAGCGTCGAATTTCACACGATTGGCGAGCGCGCAACATCTATCGCTTTTATCGAAGAAGAGCTTCGTTAAACGACGCGTTTCCTCCTCGATTACCTTGGAAATAGATTTCCTTTTTTCCCCCCAACAAATGGCTCGTTACATTTTTTTTTCTTTCGAAGAGTAAATCTAATTCAAGGATATCGATTTTCTTTTCTTTTTTTTTTTTTCGTGAAAAAATCGAAACCGTGCTTGAGTCGTTGTTGCATCAACATCGACAACAAACGTTCGAGTTATTAAATTATGCGAAATTCTTTCTCACCTTTCACATTTCTTGGGAGAAATCTTCATATACGTTCGATGCATATACGTTCACGTCATCCGCGTTGAAAGGAGCTTAGCGGATGAAATAATTCCATTAGCGAGTTATTTCTTCCATTATATCTTCGAAATCTTGTTTTTAAATTCAAAAAAAAAAAAGGATTGTCTTCAAACGATCGTTCCACTCCATAATTTGAAGACAATGCTCCCATATTTCTATCCGTCCCAAGGAAAGGACGAATCAAAGCCAAAGAGAGAGAGATAAAAGGTCTAATACCTGAGAATCGCATCTTAATTACACACACGTCGATTACAATGGCGCAAGGTTTTCCAATTAAACGGCGCGATACATCTGCGCGATAACAGTTCAATTAATCCACGACGCGTATATTATCCCCTCTCTTCTGCTCCATCCTTGGAACGAATCGAGAGTTAATTGGTCGCGGACGTATCCTGGAGATTCGAGGCGACGGTTGTTCAGCGATTGTTCGCAGCGAAAAACCGCAAATTATCGCGATCAATCCGATAAAGATCATCGCGGTCGTGGCGCTGCTGAGCCCGCGTCGCGCATCGCCGTTCGGTTCACACGAGTGGCTCGCGTGTTTGCACCTGCGCACTTCCATTATGCACGCGCTCGTGAAATTTTTATTAGGCGGTTGTAAATTAACGCTTCTAACGTACGAGTTCGCCTCTCTCCGTTCGAGTTTATCGATCTCGCTTTGAATTTTCCCCGTCAGTGTCATCTTCGTATTGTTGTAGACGAATAATGAGAAGTGAATTTTACGAAAAGTAAAGAAAAACAGGCTTCGTTTTCGAATCTCGATATTTCCTCGAAAACAAAGGATTTTTAAAGCCACCTGTTCAATAATTCGTAATCCAATTTTGTATTTGTCAAAAATTATCAAACTCGATAATTTCTTTCTTTCTTTTTTTCTTTCTTTACGAATTGATGCTTGTTTTTTTTTTTTTCAAAGATGGACGATATTTTCTTCTTCTTGGTGGAATAAAAGCGTTGTTTCGATCGGTTTATTTCGCTCGGTTCTGTACCTGGATCGGATAAAGGGACGGCGAAATTGGTTTAATCGACGGGATTGTCCCCACTCGAACGGTCGCTCGATAGTGTATCACGTACTTGACCCGAGTGTATAGGGTTCAATGGAAACGCTTTCATTAATTTTCGAGCGACTCCGCTCTTACGATCGTGTTGGAGAGGTAGGGAGGGGGGAGAATCACGCGCGTGATTGCCGAACGGATGTTCGAGGGTGATTATTTCGAGTGGCAGACGCACACGTGTTCGCGTCGTTGATGGACAAACACACGTCACCCGAAAAAGTGATTAATCGATGCGCCACGATGAATCTTAATGGACATTTAAATCTTATCGATCGAAAATTTCTTTCTTTCTCCACGTTTCGTAGTAAACTATTTGTGCATGCAAGAATCGTTTTAATTGACGACGAGAAGGTAGTAGAATTTGTGCATTTTGTAAAAGTTAAATTAAGAATTTTTTTCTTCAAATTCTCAATCTATATTTCTAATCTAAATAAATTAAAGAATAAAATTTGCGGAAGAGGAAGAGTTTTGAGAAGAGGAAACAATCAAACGTGACTCAAACTCGTTGTCTTTTTCTGTTGCAGGTGAGTTAAAGTCCTTGTCCCTGCCAAGAGGATTCCCGCCGGAAATAACGGTGAAGGAGGACGACGAAGGTAAAGAGCGGTTTGATCAAACTCGATTAATTGCAAATTTTATCAACGGTTACGTATTGTTCCATCTAAAACGCGAAATTCTTCTTCGATAATCGTTGCAACAGACACTCGAATATCTTTCTTGGCGAGGAACGCTTGGGATACCTCGCCTCGTATTATAATACATTTAATAAACGCGTCGACCTTGCGAAACGATTTGCATAAAATGTGACGATCGCGCCAATAATTGGAGGGGGAGGGGGGG